CAACTCTCGAGGTACCCGAGTGAAATCCCCCTCTCTGGCCTCTTACTGCTCCCTCAGATGAGGTTTTCCCACGGAGCCCTGTCCCGATCCCAGCTTCTCTGTGATGGCCGGTCCCCTGCAGCGCCTAAAGCCAAGAGCTCTGCTGCCACAGCGCTGCTGGGACTGGTGTTGGCCTGGGCACAGAGAGGATGAGGAGGAGTTTTTATACCCGTAAGGAAATGCTGCCAAGAGTATGGGCCAAATAGACCCCCTCAATAAGCCACAAGGCAGCCTCTGCCCTGCTCGGGACCCTGCACCCTGCAGGGCTCCCCATGGCAGAGATGGACAGACCTGTCAGCATCGAGTCTGCAGTGACCACCTTGAGCCACCTCTTTGCTCCATCCCTGTCCAGACCCCTCTCCGGGACACGTCGAGGCCGTAGTTACTGGGTGAGATGGAAGCAATGGTGCGAGCTCTCCTCGCTGCTCATGGACATCTCTGCACAGCAGGGATGGGGACTGGGGGATACACGCGGATGGCACTTAACCTGCCCAGTGGGTTTTGATGTTGGTTTTACTGCTGTTCCTCTGTGCTCCATCCCAAGAGCAGCACTTGGTCCTGCGCCCAAGCTGCCCATGCGTGTGCTGAGGGAGGCATTGCTTGGTGCCAGCACTAACACAGCAGGGAGCTTCCCTCTCTGCCCAGCCCCTGGCCTGCTTTCTGCCATCCCTGAACCCGATCCTCCTTGGCTCTGCAGCAGCCCAGTTCTAACCGTGTGGCTCCAGGTCTTGTTGTCCTGACCTCTGTGTTTCTCTTCCAGGTATGACCTCCCTTATCTAACACCTCCTGTGAGCCAGAGGCTTTTCCTAACCAGCTACCTGGCTACCTTCCTCCCCTTCCCCTCCCTGCTACACTCCTTGTGCTGCAGCAGACCTCGCACAGACTCCCTGTGAGGCAGTTGTGCAGGATACTTGCCAGTCCCAGGAGACCTCAGGGGAACACGGGCCAGGCAGGAGCAGGACTGTGGACTCCCAGGAGGCTGGCTTGGTCACAGCCACAGTGCCCAGGCCTGGGTGGAAAGGGTCAGAAGGAAGAACTGAAGCAGCAGAAGCTGCTTGTCTCCCCTGGCACTTGCAGGCTGCTGCCTTTCCCCGCAGCCCTCGGGGGATGCAGAGCTCAGCATCCCACTGCTCTCCAGCTCTGATCCAGGTTTATGGGCACCAAAACACTCCTGGAGGCACCCAGGTTTTACAAGAGCTCTCTCTAACAGCATCCAGCTGCCAGCCTTATGGATTGAACTCTCTCTGCCAGCCAGGGCTCTGCAGCCAGCCAGGCATGTGCTGCCTGGTGGGGAGAGGCTGGGAGGTTTATGGAGTAGGGATGAGTCCATGCCAGAGCTTCAGCCCAGCTAGTAGCCTTACCTTGAGATGGTCTTTATAACAGAGCCTTATCATCTAATTTGCATATATTTCTGTATGTTATATATATATATTCTGTACTTAAATACTCTCATGGACTCACTCCATTAAATTCTAATACTGTAAGTGCAGCTGCCCTTCACTTTCAGTCCAGCCCAGCCTCTGCTCCTGCAGCGACCAGCACTTCCCCTGTTGCTGATGCTGCCTTGGAGCAGGGCTGCTGCGAGGGGAGCTCAGTGGAAGGCTGGACCAGCAGCAGGTACCCTGTCCTGCCTGGTTTGCTGGGGAGCTGTGCCTTTGCTGTGGCACAGAGAGCGTGTCCTGCCCGGACCTGGCTCCATCCCTGGGAAACCTTGGCTCCTGCAGCCAACAGTGCTTCGAGAAGGGGCTTCTCCAGGACATTGAGCTGTGCTGCAGGAGCAGTGCAGGCAGGCAGCAGGACAGGCAGGGCACTTCCTTGCCACCCCAAAGCAGCTGCCCTGCCGCTGTCCTTCAGTTTGAGCTGGGCCGAGGGGCTGGAGTCACTCGGAATCAGGCAGCAGGGAGGAGGCTCCTCTGCAATGGGCGGCAGCGCGATGGTGCTGCTGGTCCCAAAGGCTCCCTCAGGCTGGCTGTCTCTTGCTGTGTTATGTCGAGGAAGAGGTAGAGTCAGGTGCTGAGGGGTGCCCAGAGTGGGGCTGAGGTGGTCCTGATGCTCTGGGGACACAATGATGAGATGCCTGAGCCCTTGGGATAGGGCAGGGCAAGGCAGGGACTCATGCAGGTGTGAAGCATCCTGCCCAAAGCAGGGCTTGCTTCGAGGACAGGGACGGGGCTGTTGTACCAGACTGGGGTGGGATGTGGTGTGAGCTGTCTGGGAGGTTTGGACCAAGACAGTGCTGGCAGAGGTGTGAAGCAGTGCCCACAGTGGGGATTGGGCATTGGGAGTCCTATGGCCTGGTTTTTGGGGTGTTGCGCTGCAGTGTCCACTGACAGCAGTGCGAGTTGCTGTCCTTGCTGTCCCCTATCACACCCAGGCTGGCAGCAGCCGTGCATTACTGGTGGCATTGATGGTAGGCTGGCCGTAAGCATGCTGTGTGTTTGGCTGCAGTGAAGGGACCATATTCCAGCCTGCAAGACCTGGCTGGGTCTCCTGTTATCCCAGTGTAGGACTAGGGGATATGGGGAGGAGCAAGGTTTTGGCCTGAGTGTGAGGTCGGGAGTATGCAGCCAGAGGGGAGCTGAAGGAAGGAAAAGGCAGGATGAGGGCAGAGCAGCTGGCCCTGGTGCCAGGTACTGGGTACCACAGGGCTGTGTTTGGGAGCTAGGATATGGCAGGGAGGGGAGCAGGTTGGCTAATGCTCTGGTAACCGTGGTGCTGCTGTCCTCTCTGCTTTGTGATTCTCTGCTCTGGAAGGAGAATAAATTTGTACTCATACTGAGACCCGGATCAGTGCTCTGGCCTCTTCTATCCATGCACCTCGGCTGAGTCAGGGCAGCTGCCACCACCGTGCCACCCTGGCACTGGTCCTGCAGGGCTGCTGGGACACAGATGTCCCTGTGTCCACACCATCTGAAGCAGAGCAGGAGCCTTGGGCTCCCCGGACATAGATGTGTCCCCCAGCCACCATCTTCCTTCATCCACTGCCAGCAAGATCTGCCCAGGGCCATGTGGCAGCCTGGGACAGGGGCTGTGTGGGGATAGTTCTTCCTCATCTGGGAATATGTCCTGTGGGAAACCCTTCAGCCCCAGGAAGGATGTAGGCAGCAGAGGGATGCTGGATGGGCAGTCCTCTCCCTCCATGTTTTCTCCTTGGAGCCCCATTAGGTCTCCAGGGCACAGAGGTGTCAGGGTGCTTTTGCCCCATGCTCCCTGTGTCTCCATGGCACAGTGAGGGCTCAGCTGGTTCATAGCCCAGGGCACGGCTGGGGGCTCCCTGCCCCACAGGGTGCAGCCCAGCCTGAGATGCCATGCAGAGCCTGGCCAGGACTGACCCTTGTAGGGCCAGACCTGCTCTCACCCCCACCTGGAAGGGCTGGTGGTGCTGTGCCAAGGCCTGACCTGATGCTACTGCATGGGGACAGCTCTCACCAAGGAGACTTTCCGGAGCGTAAACGGGGGTGAACCGCAGCCTCTGTGAAGGGTGGCACAAAGTGCCCCATCCGTGTGCTGCAGGCTCCAGGGCACGGCAGGAGGTGATCAGGGAAGCGGGTCCCATCCAGGAACAGATCCAGCCCGTGGTGCCAGGGAAGAGCTTTTATTTCGGAGCCAGCGGAGCTCAGCGGTGCCGGCTGCGCGGTGCTGGAGCCGGCGAGCCGGGGCAGGGCGGCAGCAGGCGGGTGCTGCAGCAGTGGCGGGTGGAGGACAGCTTTGTTCCCGTGTCACTGCCCTGGGGCTTCCCTCTCAGTGTACAGCAGCCCCACCGCCTGTGCTGTGCCCCTGCCCAGGGCTGGCCCCGAGCTCTCTGCTCTCGCTGCAGGGCCCTGGGGGTGCACCACCCCCTTCCCTGGCTGCTGTGGGGCAGGGGGGTACCCCTGAGCCTCCATCCAGCCCATCCCCTGTCCCTGCGTGCCGAGCCTGGAGCTCTGCCCCCGGGGGGAAGCTGTCTAGGGGGACGCCACCTTCCCCCTTGGCAGTGCCTGCTGGCTGCTCTCCGCTGCTCCCCTCTGCCAGCACCTCACCGGGTGCTTCATCCAGCTCTGGGGCTCTGCCTGGCTCAGCCCTGGCCATGGTCCCTGTGCCAGCATCCCGTGCTCCACCGGCTCCCTGCTCCAGCCCCTGACCGAACCCTGCTGCCTCTGTCCCTCGCGCTGCCCCACAGTGCCCTGCAGACAGCGTGTGCAGCTCTGCTTGCGGGCTCTCTTCCTCTGTGTCCTCCTCTACCTTCTCGTTTTCTTCCTCTCTGTCCTCTTTTACTTCCTCCTCCATCTTCTCCCCTTTTTCCCCCTCCTCTTCCTCTTTCCCCTCCTCCTTTTTCTCTGCTTGTGGAGTCTCTTCCTTACTGGCCTCCTCTTCCTCTCTGTCCTCTTTTTCTTCCTCCTCCATCTTCTTCCCTTCCTCTTTCCTCTCCTCCTCTTTCTCTGCTTGTGGGCTCTCTTCCTCTTTGTCCTCCTCTGTCTTCTTTTCCTTCTCTTCCCCTCTGTCCTCTTTTTCTTTTTTCTCCATCTTCTCTCCCTCCTCTTCTTCCTCTTCCCCCTCCTCTTCTTTCTCACCTCCCTCTTCTGCTCCCCTCTCTGCTCCCCAGATTCCTGACTCTGCCCTAGAGGTGCCCATGTTTTCTTCTTCCCCCACTCCTGTCCCACCCCTCCCCTCCACCTCTGCAGCCTGCTCCTGGGTCAGGACTCTTGGTGTTTCCCCTTCACCCCCAGCCCTGTGGGTCCCTTGTTCTGCTTGGTCAGCCCCTGGTTGTTCTGCTTCTCCCGTCCCTGCGCCCCACTCCCCCTGCCCAGGGGTCTCTGGGACCCCAGCCTCACCCTGGGGTGCCCCTTCCTGCAGCACCTCCCCGCTCTCCTGCCCCTTGCTGGCCTGCGGCCCCCGGGGTGGCTGGAAGAGCCCTTGGTAGCGCTTCCGATCCTCCACGTGCTTCTTCCTCATCCTCTCCCCGAGCTGCTTCAGCTCCTTCTTCACGGCGGCGGCCATGGAGGGGTCGAGGTGAGCCACCCGCAGGAAGTCCTCCCGCGCCTCCCGCTCGTTCCACACAGCAGCGTGAGCCTTCGCCCGCTTGAAATAGGCCTTGGCGTTGTCTGCCAGGAGAGGAGAGCCCCTGGGGAGGGGGGGGTCCTGCAGCTCAGGGCCACCAGCCGCAGGAGCTGGAGACCATGGGAACGCATGCGGAGCAGGGCTGGGTGCTATTGGAGGTAGGGGCAGGGTTACTTATGCCACTGCGGGCACCGGGGGGTAGAGGGTGCAGGGATCATCATGGGAAAGGGGAATCGTGGTGGGTGGGGGGTTGTGGATGATGTGGGATATCATGGGGTAGAGGTAGAGGATACAGGGTGCAGGTGCCATCATGGGAAGGGAGACCTGGGACGTGGGTTCTGCAGTGGCCATGGGGATCCAGGCAACCATCACAGGCAGAGGGATACGGGATGAGCGTTGTCGCGATTGGGAGATCCAGAGGCCAGAGTCCCTGGGGCTGTGTGCACAGCAGGGTGGGATGCAGGCCACAGGTACCTTTGTGTTTCTGGAGGAGCTCTGTTGTGTGCTCCAGCACCTCGTAGTACTCTCCCAGCTCCAGCTGACACTGGCAGTAGTTGAGCACCAGCGGTGTGACCAACCTCTCCAGCTTCAGCCAGCCTTCCTCCCATGGTTTCTCCTGCCCCGGAGAGCCACAGTCGGTGTTTCGTGGCTGTGGCCATCCCCTCCCTCGGGGAGGACAGGAGGTGCCTGGGTCCTGCTCACCTTGGCCTGCAGGTTCCTCAGGCAGATGACAGCCTCCTGGTACTTGGCTGCTGCCTGCGCGAACTCCTTGCGGAGCACGAGGCGGTTGCCCTCGCTGTGCAGCACGGGCACTGCCGCCAGCTTCTCCTCCTTGCTCATGGCCCACGTGTCACGTTTGTAGGCTGAGGGCTCCTCTACCTGCACGGGCAGCGGGAGCTGAGCTGCTGCCCTGGCCATCCCCCCCCATCCCCACATCCCCCTTACCCGGAACAGCTCCATGATGAAGATGAGGGGCTGCGGCGTCCGCTGCAGCTCATCCAGGTCATCGTAGCCCGTGCTATGGTAGTCAAACATGTTGCCCATGCCACAGCGGTGCTTCTGCCCTTCCAGGGGGTCCCGGCCCTCTGCGATCCTCCGCATGCCCCTGGAGACCAGGGCATACATGCCTGTGTGCTGCAAGGAGGGGGAGCACCCTGCTCAGCCGCATGGGACTTGTCTGCACCCCTTCCCCTGTGGGTAGCCTAGTGGTGCAATGGTGACACCTGAGTGCCCTGTGCTTGCACCAGGCAAGGCTGGGGTATCTCTAGGTACGTGGTCTTGTGCCTGACCCTGCAGAAAGGAGGCGGGTAGGTGCCTATGGGCCCCTCACTCACAATGGCATCGCACCAGAACTCAGCCACTTCCCCCGTTCTCATGGAGCTGAGCAGCGTCTCCCAGATCTCCAGCTTGAACATCTTGCCCACGATGATCTCCATGGGGATGCCAGCTTCCCGGCTGTCATCGATGACCGTCCGCTCAAAGTCATCCTTCAGTGTCTGGAAGTGGAAGGTGATCTGCCCCAGAAAAAGCTCAGTGTTGAGCAGTGAGAGACCTCCAGCCCCTCACCAGCCCCAAATCCCTCTGCCATGGGGCCAAGATCCAGGCCCAAGCCTGCTCCCAGCAGCGTGCTGGGTTGACTGGCAGCTCTCCATTCACAGCAGGAGATTGTGCCTCCTCTCTCATGCCTCTTACGACAGCAAGCAGATGGTGGAGTGTCTAAACACCCATCACTGATGTATCTTGCTGTTCTCTTTGGATCCCACTTTATAATCCGGAATGTGCCCATAGGATACACCAGGAGATGGCAGAACCCACACTACTCTGCCCATGCCCATGGGCTGGGGAATATAAACTCCCCACTGGCACCCCTGTAGCTGCCTGTGCCCAAACCAGCCCTTCCTGCACCTCCCCCTTGACAGAGATGTCCTGAAGATGGGATCTCCCCATACCACAGACCCAAATATGGCTTTTGAGCAGGGGATCTAACTGTAATGGGCAGGGATGGTGGTGTTGGGCCCACTCCCCTCTCCTAGGGCTTTGGTGTAACAACCAAGGCAACTTACCTTGCTCCCATCCTGCAGCTTGGGCAGCTCCCCTTGGCCTCCATGCAGAATCTTCTTCCTGACCCCTTCCACATTCAGCAGGTAGGTTTCCTCCATAGCTGCTCCTGTTGACCCTCACGAGCAGGTCACAGGCACAGAGCCACGCTCAGGCCCTTCCTGAGCTCCACGTCTGCTTCAGGGTCTCTCCCTTTCCTGACTATCTGCACACACATGTCATCTCCCAGGGCTGCTGCTGGCCTTCCCAGCTCTGTGCTGGGGCAGAGCTTGGAAGCCTTCTCCCCTTCCCTTGTGCTTTGGGTTGACAGAGGGGTGTCCTACCGTGGCACACCCTTGGTGCCCTCTGTTGCATTCTGGAACTGCCCTTCTAATCCTCTTCCCACCCTGCCAGGTTAATCTGGGATTTGCCTGCCCAGTCTGTGAGGAATTAAAGAAACTCCCTTATCAGGAGGGCTTCGGTCCTTCTTTAGCCTGACAGCTCACAGGGCTCCCTTCCCCACGCTTCCTTTACCCAGCCACAGAAGGAGCACTTCAGCGAAGGAGCCCAGAACTGTTGTGCATGGTCAGAGGCAGTCACAGGCTCTGTGCTCTGGAATCTGTGTCCTGGAGACCACAGAGGAGCAGACAACGGTTGGAAACAGTCCTTTATTGAGTCTGATTTGCAGACACGAGTATTCCTCACACACAAGAACAAGTTCCTATCTGGCCACAGCCCATCAAGATGCAGAAAGTTGCCCCAGGGGGAACTAAACCCCTCTGGGAGAATGGTGCTGAGTATTTACAGTAAATCCCGTATTCTGGCTGCTCTCACAGGCATAGTTTAATTCCTTAGCTCCGCAAACCCAGCCCAGAAAAATACATGTGAGACCAGCACTGGACATGCCCAGCAGCAGAGGTGTGTGACTAGAGCATAGACTTCAGCGTGGCAGATAACACCACTTCCAGCTCTGCTCGCAGGTATAAAGACCCCAGCCTGCTCCTCACTTCTCCATGAGGGACTCCAGCTGCTCCTGCAGGGACGTCATCTGGGAAGAGAGAGTGAGGCACTGCAATATGGCATAGCAGGGACTCCTGGCAGCTCCAGCCCAAGCACTTCTGTTTCTGTGGATCTTCCACCTACACTGGTGCTGCTGTGCCTGTACATTGCAGGGAGCCATCCCTGGGCACCTCTGGGGCAGAACAGGAACGTGGGAGTGGGAATCTCCTGCCTTGGTACCTGGTTGAAACTCAGCAGAGCTGCTCAGGCAGGAAATGTGCCCAGACCTTACAGCCACTGCCCTTCTTGTACATAGGTGCTAGTGGGTTTCTGTGTCAGGTTTTACTCCAGGTAGCAATCCACAGTTTTGGGTCCCTGCTCCTCCAGAAGGAAGGCTGTAATCAACCCCATCTCCTACACTTCCTTGTGCCTTAGGAAACCCTTGCAACCACAGATAAGGTACAGGCACAGCTGACCTGGTGTGGTACAAGATTAAGGAAACTTCGTCATAGGTCAAGCCTAGAACCACATCATGTCCCAGCTCTTCCCCCTCCGCTGTGGGAGTTTCCTCACCTGCTGCTTCTCTCGCTCCTCCTGCTGCTTGAACTCATCCAGCACGGCCTGGAGACGCGTCTGCAGAGACAAACATGAGACATCACAGTCACCGGTGTGCTCTCAACTGAATGGGTGCCAGTACAACATGTCAAACAGTGCAGCAAGCCCCAGGCTGCACTGACAGCCAGCCCTGCAGTTGTGTGCAGTCCCGACCCCTAAAAATCGATGGGCCTTGATGATATCTTCCAAAGGTGTTAAGAGAGCTGGCTGCCATTGCAAGGCCGCTCTCCATAGTCTTTGAGAAGCCGTGGAGATCAGAGGACATGCCAGGAGACTGGAAGAAGGCAAATGTCACCTCTATCTTCAAGAAGGGCTTAAAGGTTTTTTCAGCCTAGAGAAAAGATGGCTCAGGGGAGACCTTATCACCATGTTTAAATTTAAAAGGTGGCTACAAGGAAGATGTAAACTTCCTTTTTACAAGGAGTCACATGGAAAAGACAAGGGTTAATGGGTACAAGTTACTCCCAGGGACATTCCAGTTGGGCACAAGGGGAAAATTTTTCCCAATGAGAACAATCAGTCATTGGAACAATGTCCCCAGGGAAGTGGTGGATTCCCCAAAATCAGATACTTTAAGAGTCAGCTGGACAGGGTGCTGGGCATCCTGCATAGACTGCTTTTGCCAAGAAAGATTGGATCAGACGATCCTTGAGATCCCTTCCAACCTGGGATTCCATGATTTTTAACCCAGCAAGCCCAGACCCATGCCTTTTCCAGGCCAGCAGCAGAATCAGTCTGCTGGATCTAATGGCAATCCAGTGCTAAGCGGAAGACTTGAAGAGCCCCCAGGAGAGCTCTCACCTTGAGGGCCAAGTTCTCCACTTTCATGATGAGATCTTCCTGGCGCTTCCTCCTGTCCTGGGTCTCCTGGAGTTTACTTTTCAGGTTGTCAATCTGCTTCTGGATCCCCATGACTGGAAGAGAGAGTGAGCTCAGAACCACAGCAGCAGCAGAGCTGGGCAGTGCAGGCTGCCTGGCACCCTGGTGACCCTACTGTGCTCTGCTATCCACTCACCTATCTGGTTGGAGCCCTCATTCTCCTGTTGCTGCCCATCAGACTCATTCAGCTTGTCCTGCAGCTGCCTCTCCAAGTCATCCTCAGTGTCCATGATGTTCAGGTCTTCATCGTCATGATGATCCCTCTCATCTTCATCTTCACTGCTGCTGCTGATGTCATTAAATATCTCCCGTAGTTCATCATGTTCTAAGGGGAAGAGAAGAGAAAAAACACAGCTGATGACCTCCTCACACCCTCTGCCTGCCAGGGACCATGTCAGTACTGGGTGTCTCTCTCTACACCCTCTCCTTTGCTCTGGTTAGGGCTTACCCCAGAGAGAATGGGGCCAACCGATTTACTTAGTGGCTAGAAAGAAAAGAACAGCCTTGCCCACTGCACCTGAGGAGCCTTGCTTATGTCCTGACATCCCTGGGGAGGAGATGTCCAGGCTGGTGAGCGAACCATGGTTGTCTACTTCTTTTGTTTCGTCTTCAGCAATGACTTCCCAGCCTGAGAGCAGGAACAGACGAGTCAAGGGAAAAAGAGGAACATGAAAGATGCAGTGTGATGGAAGGATGCTAAAAACTGCAGCGGATCATTGCTCCTCCAGCAAGTCTGGCCTTAGAGCTATGGCCATCCAGGACAAACCACCCCAGCCCCTTTGCTTGATGACTTCTCCTCTGCCGTTACTTACGTTCCTGCTCAGTACAATACTACAGTCCAAGGAAGGTCACCGTGAAGAAACAATGAGCTCTGAACAAGGCAAAGATGAAGCTCCAAAACTTCAATGCCTCTTGTACCTCTGTCTTGCAGCCCCTCACACCCATCTCGTAGCCTCTCACACCCATATTAAGCTGAACTTATCTCCTTGCCAGAACCCCCAGGTCACACATAGTGCCCCATCCCCGGCTTGGGCTTTTCTCTCCTAAAAGGATACGGACACTGACAGCTTCAGCATCTGTGCTCAGGAGACGCTTCACCTCTTTCTCCACATCAGGAGACTCTATATACTAGGCCAGAGAGGGGAAAGAGAACAGAGAAATTGTTAAATGCTTCGTGCACGCTGCTGTTGGCCAACTCCAACCCTCCACCTCTGGACAGAGCCATCTCAAGCCTCTCTTCTCTTATGCTTTCTGCTCAGCCTTTGCTCATCCTCACCCTAGAAGTAATTTATGCACCTCCTGAAGGCAGCCCATCTTTTTTGCACAGAGCTCCTTGGTGGGCTGTCTGCTCTCACTTTTGTACTTGGCTATGAAATAAGACTTTAGGTGTGTATGCAGAAAGTCTTTGAGGTGCTGTATCTTGACGGATGGTCAGCTCAGCTCCTTCCCGCCTCAGTCAAAAGCAGGTTTAATTTTTCACATTTAAATCAGCCAGGAATCTTAATGCAGTGACATCAAATCTCTCCTGTGCGCTGTAAGAATGTCTCGAGTAATTTGTTTCCCAAATGGCATGCGAAATAGCATGAAATAGTTCTCAGGAACTGCAAAGCAGAGAAGAACAAGTCTTCTCAACCTCACAGCACTGCCTCTCCCCAGCACCTTGCCTGGTTTGTGCATATGCACAGAGACAGTCTCTGAGCTCCATCTGTTGTCACTCCCCCAGCTGAAATGACAGTTATTCTATTTGTAGCATTGCTTGTTGGGGAAGGGAACAGCTTATGCATAGAGAGAAGATTTCAGCTGGGAAAGCAGGAATGAGCGGGGCTTCATTTCCATGCAAGTCTTCCTTCCTTCTCTATGAGCAGGAAGAGATGCACTGTGGCAAGGCAGACACAGGAATGGAGTCCAGCAGTTCTCTGCACAGAGGATTTTCCCCTTAGGAGCATCTTGGGAAACATGGAAGAAGCACCCAAAGAAGTGTTTAAATCTACTACCAATCCTTCACCCTCATCTCAGGCAAGGAAATACATGAAGCAATGTTTTCTGGGCTCATAGAAAGACACAGCCCTAATGCCTCTGCTTTGGTTTCTGTATCTGTGTGAGAAGCAGCTCACCTTCTTCTTAGCTGTCTTCCGGAATCGTCTCTTCCGTACATTTTTCAGGGGAAGAGTGACTGTGACAGAGGAAACAGATTGCATGTGTCAGGCAGATGGCCTAATGGGAGAGCTGTGTGCCAACAGGGAGAAGATCCCTTTGGGAACAGAGACAGCACTGAAAAGAGCAGCACCACAGGCGAGACGTGGCAGTGGTGAGTGCCCTCAATAGCTATGGGGACACTGGGGTGGTGGGATGGAGCTGTGTGTTTGGCACAGTCTCTACTCACTGCCATGGTTCCAGATGAATTTCTTCTCTCTGTCCTTGTCCTTCTTCTTGTTTGCCTTAGGGTCAGTGCTCACAGTTTGCTCTTCCAAAGGGGGGTACAGATCACCATCCACGGTGCAAACAAGCATCTGGAATCCCCACATAAACACAAAGGGTGCTTATTGTTATACAAGGACAAAAGGATGTGAAAGCTTCTGTGGAAAATGAAGTGACTGCCCACTGCATGGGTGAGCCAAAGGGATTTCCAGGCAAAGGGTACGAGAAACACAGTATTCCACACGCAGCTCACTTCATACCCAAGCACAGCAGCAGTGAAGCCATTACAAGGACAATCATGTTTCATGCTTTGCAAATGGGATTTCTAAATGAATTTTAAACTGCTACTATTGTGAGAGTACCGAAATTGGCCATGTTATACTGGGTGTCCAGCTGCCAAAGTGTACAGGGGTTTTCCTGGAGCCGGGAGCAAGGAATTAAGCTGCTGGGACAGATGAGGACAAACCATACCTGGCATATATCTGCTGTCTTATAGAAGGTTTTCTTGTCAATGGTTTTTAAGCTCTCAATGATGCAGGGCAGATCCACCAGCTTGGCTGCCAGCGGCACCCGGTCCACACGGACAATCCCATGGCGCCCGTCCGCTGTGGAAAGCCATGGGACAGGTTACCACTGTCACTGAACAGTTAAACTGAGCAACGCATTCCTGGGCAGCAAAGACATCAAGGGAAGACACACGAAAGTCACACAGCTTCACTTGTGGACTGTCAGAGGAGTTATAAGACGCCCGGATCCTGCTCACTCACCGTGTAGCTCAATGGTGAGCCTGTCCTTCAAGTTGACATTCCCAGACTGTACTGCTCGCCGCACAGTGGAGGCATATTCCTGGGAAGGTTGGAAAGCCTTATGTCAGGATTGGATGGGCTTCCGAGAATCACCAAAGGTTTCTGCCCAGCTTCAAGCACCCCTCCATGCCAACACAGACAACTGTGCTGCAATGAAAACGGCACCCTCCTCCCAATGCATTATCCCTGTGGCTCTGCTATTCCCAGTGCCCTTCACACCCCAGGACATGATGCAGCTCTGACAGCAGGGTGAAGCCCCAGACTTCAGTGTGACTCCTGCCGGGGACACAACTCTGCGGGCGGTTACAGCTCCCATCACCGAGCTCTTGTGGTCTCAGCATGACACAGCCTTGGCTTCAAGCATTCAACCCACAGCATCGAGCGTGCTGACAGCCACAGCCCTGCAGAGCCAGCACCCGCGGTGCCTCAGGCTCCCCCCCTGAGCCTCTGCGTTGTCTCCCCAGCCTCCAGCTCCGTGTCACCCCCTCCTAAGAGGAGGCCGTGGAAGATCAGCCCAAAGCAGCGGGAACGGGTACCCGAAGCACCCAGCCTGTGCCCATGTCCCTTGCCGGGTCCGCAGGCTCACAACCGGCCCCACCTGCCTGGCGAACCCATGTCGCCAGCCCGCTGCTCACCCAGTAAACGGGCATGAGCCGCACGTAACCGCGATGCCTGCCCCAGACCGAACGGCTCTTACCGGCGGCAGCCGCAGCACGAACTGGCTCTCCAGCTCATGCGGAGCATCGTCCTTGCCCTTACTCATCTCCCCTTCTTCTCCAGGAACACCAAGCCTGAAACCCAGGGTGACGGCAGCCCCGCGGCGGGGGGACCCTGCGGCCTGTCCGCTACCGCCGCTACGCGGGCCCGCTCCCGGAGCCCGGCCCGGCCCTGCTCCGCCGGGCGGAAGCCAGGCTCGGTGCGCCGGCAACAGCCCTCCCCCGGAACGGAGCCTGTGCCGGAGCACCGGAAGGGGCGAGCGGCGGCTCTGCCATGGGCCCCGAGGGCGGGCGGACCCGGTTCTACGTGGGGCTGGGCCTGGCGCTGGCTTCCAGCGCCTTCATCGGCGGCAGCTTCATCCTCAAGAAGAAGGGGCTGCTCCGGCTGTGCCGCCGCGGCCGCACCAGGGCAGGTACCGCGGCCGGAGAGGGGCGGGTGCGGGCCAACGGGGAGCGCAGAACGCGCCGGGACTTGAGCCGGCAGCGGAGCCGGGCTTCGGCTCACGGCCTCGGCGCTGTCACTGCCGCGGCGCCTCCGCCGGGACAGCGCTGGGCCTCGGCTGCCTCCTCGTTGCCTGTGGGGCTGCTTGCTCCAAAGGGAGGCTTCTTCCGCAGGGCAGCGCCCGTAGCCACACAGGCACGTTCAGAGAGCGGGACCGTGGAACTGCTCTTTCAAAAGCAAAACCGGGGTAAAAATCTTTGCTTTTAGGTGCTTGCCCATGGCCAGCGTGTGACAAGGCAGCCTTGTGCTTGGGGATCAGGTTGATCCCACTTGCTCGCTTCCCTGTGGCTGTTCTGGCACGATAAGCCTGTTGGGTAGCTTATAGAATCACAGAACCAGCCAGGTTGGAAAACGCGTTTGAGCTCGTCAGGTCCAACCTTTACCCCAGCACTGCCGAGGCCACCACTGACCCATGGCACTGAGGGCCTCGTCTCCACGGGCTGTGAACACTTGCAGGGATGGAGACCCCAGCACTGCCCTGGGCAGCCTGTTCCATACCTGATCACCCTCTCGGTGGAGGAATTGTTCCTAATGTCCGATAAACCTCCCCTGGCACAGCTTGAGGCCGTTTCCTCTTGTCCTGTCGCTTGTTACCTGGGAGAAGAGACCAAACCCGCACCTCCCTACAACCTCCTTTCAGGTACTTGTGGAGAGCGGTGATCTGAGGTTTCTCGTTGCTCTTTCTTACTTAGGACAAGGAGGTCACGCGTACCTGCAGGAATGGCTTTGGTGGGCAGGACTGCTCTGCAGTAAGTACCTGCTCTAAAGTTGTGCAAGGGCACTTACGAGTGCATTGATCATGGTTTCCAGTTGCTTTTGTGTTTTATCTATTATGAACATTGCTTGAGTTTTATCTGAGGATGCTGCTGATCTAATCATAACTCTGTATATTCTAAATTCTCATGCATTACCAGGTTTCTTTGCTTAAACAGGAGTCGAGGAGCTGGTCTGAGTTAAGTGCTTCTGACATGGCCTGCCCAGACAGTGTAGTTACAACTGCACATCCAGCACTGTGGGTTTAGTGCTACAGCAGTTTCAGCAGCTCTGGTTTACACTTTTCAACATTATTAATCAATTTTACTCGAGTTATTCTTTACAAAGCTGTAAAAACTTGTCCTGGAAGGACAAGAACATGACTTAGAAACATGGGTCAAAACCCCTGTTAGCTTTGAGAACATTATGGACCTATTTTCCTGTGGCTCCTGCTAATGTGAGCAAAGATCACCACGCAAAACCACACAGCCTTTGCAGAAGAACCTGCGTCAGGCTTCTGCTTGTTCCTGCTGCTGCTGTGCTTTCCTGGTTGCACAGTGTAACCTCAGAGAAACATGGGCTGCTCAGGTGGAAACAGAGGCTCTCTTCTGACTGCTCTCAAACTGTACTGTGCCGAATTGCTCCTCTGATGCCCACCTGACAGCGTTTCTCTTGCAGTGGGAGTTGGAGAAGCAGCAAATTTTGCTGCCTATGCCTTTGCCCCTGCAACTCTGGTAACTCCACTGGGTGCTCTGAGTGTCCTGGTTAGGTAAGCAGCCTCAGAAACACCCTTACCTCACCTACCACCCCGTAGTGGTGAGAGCAGTTGCTCTGCTTTCCTCCCTCTCTTCCCTCAGGTACCCCATCTCTTGGCCTCATTGATTTGGGGTTTGTTTTACTATCTTTCAGTGCAGTTTTGTCTTCCACCTTCCTGAATGAGCAGCTGAATGTTCATGGGAAGATCGGCTGCATCCTGAGTATCCTGGGCTCCACAGTGATGGTGATCCATGCTCCGCAGGAAGAAGAGGTTTCCAGCCTGGAGTCAATGGCAGAGAAGCTGAAAGATCCAGGTACTTACATATAAAGGGTCCTATCAATTCAGGCTTGGAAATGACAGTAGAAGGTAGGATACAACTTGGATAGATTGGGAAGGACTGAACTAAAGAGTATGTGAGCTGTTTCTTACTCTGTACATCAGTGGAGGAAACATTCCCCTGTGTCTAGGGTAGCTTGTGGGTTGCCTTCTGTGGTAGGAAAGAATTGGGGTCTCCACACTTTAAATGTGAAAGAAACAGCACAGGGAATGGAGGAAGAAAGCACAGGAGAGGAGCAAAGCAGAGGAACAGGTAGATGCTGCTGTTCATTAGAGGAAGTGCTCTGGCAGGGCCGTGTACTCCTGTGATGTAGTGCTTTCCTCTTTATCCCCCCACAGCCCACAGAATTCAGGTGGGGCTTTCCCAAGCCTTCTGCCACCTTCCTAGACCTCCATCTCTACTTGTTGTTCAGTTACATCTGTCACTGGTGCTGCTGTTCTCTGAGAGATCTTTAATTCTTCTCTCCCCAAGGATTCATTGTATTTGCTGTCTGTGTTGTGGTGAGCACCCTTCTGCTTATCTTTGTTGCCGGCCCCCGTTACGGACAGAGCAACGTCCTGGTTTATGTTTTGGTGTGCTCCGCCATCGGCTCGCTTTCTGTGTCCTGCGTTAAAGGCTTGGGAATTGCCCTGAAAGAGCTGTTTTCTGGGAAGCCAGTGCTGAAAGAACCACTGGGCTGGGTGCTCCTTGTGTGCCTGGTGATCTGCATCAGCATCCAGATCAATTACCTGAACAAAGCCTTGGACATCTTCAACACATCTGTGGTTACACCCATTTACTACGTGCTGTTCACCACAGCAGTCATGACGTGCTCTGCCATCTTCTTCAAGGAGTGGCAACACATGGTGCTGGACAACATCATCGGCACCATCAGTGGCTTTCTCACCATCGTGTCTGGCATCTTCCTCCTGCACGCCTTCAGGGACATGCCCTTCACCCCCAGCCTCCTGCCCCTCTTCCTCCAGCAGGGCAGGACAGACCCGCATGCCTCGTGGAGGAGTGCAGACAGACATCAGTCATGTCCACACCAGCCTCTTCTGCCCTCAGAGGACAAAGGCTCTCAGAGCACAGAAGAGGAGGAGGAAGGTGAGGGCATGTGAGGAAGCCTCTGAACTGCTAGCTCTGCTCCCACCACTGAGCAGCTCTGCTGCAAGGTCGAACCTGCTGCCTCACCTGCTGCTACACCAGCCTCAGGTGTGAGATGGGGGAGCTGCCACTGCCAGGAGGCTGACAGGGTCAGCAGCTTCCTGTGGCTACAGACAGGAGCCTTGGGAACTGCCCGGCTCCTGGGATCTGGTGCCTCTTCACTGTTCTTGCACGTGAAGAATCCATCTGCCCTCATCAGGACTGAGGCTTCAGCTGCCCAGAGGCCCGCAGCACTAACACAGTGCTAACCCTGACTGAGTGTGGAGACCACACTTGTGGGGAGGCCTCACAGCCCTTTTTAAAGAATAGGCGATTAACAGTTACAAACTAATCTAACCCGGTGCCGAGATGGCAGGGAGGATGGGTGTCTGGCCTGAAAAGATGACATACCCAGAGCATTCATTCAAGGACTTGTTTTGCTCACTCTGCTAGAATTTATTTACAGATTCACATCCAAGAACAGAGTACAGCCAAAACGGGAAAACTTCTGTGGTGCTGCCACTGCTGTGGCTCTTACAGAGGGACCGACCTCTTCATACAGTATCTGCTGTGCAGGTGATGCAGTGCCTGCTGACTGTATTCTATTAAAAACCGTTCTGTTCGGTTACCAAGTGGCTCATGTTCCATTTGTACCGAGAGCTGGGCCATGCTGAAAGGCCTGAGGGGTTACAGGGTAGGAAGAAGCATGCCGATGCTCCAGAGAAATTCAAGATAGGGACAGGAGAGGGAATCAGCTTTGGGAACAGGAGCAATCTAAGAGTCCTTAGCTATTGAGGTAAGTTTTTAAAGATAACTAGACAGCCATGTCCTCACTTACGTGGGTTTCTATTTGCATAGCTCTGCTGAACACATCTTGAATTTGTTCCCAAGCCACCCGTGTTAGGAACTCACACACCATGTCCAGCCACCCATGGCAGATGGACGCTTGCAGAACTGCTTTAGCAGGTTCCTGTATAGAGCCCCAAGCCACTGCCAGTGGTCATTCCAGGCTTCCCAGAGCCATGCAGTATGGAAACACTGCTGAAATGCCATGCTGCCTTTCCAGAGCTCAGGTGAGGAGTTTGCTGTTTTTCCAGTTAGAAGCTACTCTGTGCCCTGGGGACAGAGGTCAAGAAGACACAGCCACAGGCTTCCCTCCAGTCACCTCCACAGGTAAAGGTGCATGAGGTTATAAAGTACGTGGTTACTTATTTCCTGCATTTAGTCTAAACAAACTACTTCTTTACAGGGCAGCAGAAGAGGAAAAGCCACAGCCTCTCCCAGAAACAAGTTCAGATTCATGGGATCAAATTAATTGAGCAACAGGTCCCAGTTCAGAACAGACCTTCCAGCCAAAAGATAATTACAGCCCCTCCCTACTAATTGCACAATAAGCAGGATCACTGGGAAGGAGGGGGAGTGGCAGGGCCAGATTTTCAGTCCTCAGTGGCCATCTACCTGAACAAAGGAGAATCTCATGTTAGAAATTGACCCAGTTAATATTTATTACGTTGACCAGGGGAAAGCAGTTAATGGAGCGAGTCAGTACTGACACAGTTGTGCTGCAGTGTGAAAACCTGTCGCTTTGGCCACATGAATGATTTACCTGTGGAAAGTAGTCCCCAGTAGTGATACCGCCTGGGATGATCACTGTGCCCAGCAAGCTCTTCTCACTAAGGGTACCTCTCCCAGATTGAGCAGCGATGACACCTACAGGGCTTGTGTCTACCCAGGAGGGTCTGTTTTGTGCAGCACCATTAAGGCAGCGCTCACACGCTGGCCTCACACAGAGCTGACCTTCACATCAGCACTGGGAGCACCCCCGAACGTGAGCATCACCACCCCTCCATTCAGCCGAATGGGTGCCTTCCAAACGCTCCCCGCGGAGCACCGGGAGCCCTGGAGTCCCAGCACAAAGCCGGCTGCTGGCCCGCCTAGCCAGGAGCAGCACATTGCCCTGGGGAGCAGCGACTGTGCCTCTGCCGTGGGCTCTCATCTGGCTGCAACTTCCCCGAGCCTGGCATTGAATTAAATCCTAACCCCCAGAGCTGCTGCCGCCGGCTCATGCGGGCAGCAGTGACCAGGAGCCGGCGGGGGGTGGCCGGTGTCCCCCGGGGCACGGGTCCCGCTCAGTCGGACAGGCTCTCCGAGAAGGCCGACTTGGACTTCTGCGTCTGCTCCAGACGGTTCAGGATGAACTGGCTCGTGTCGATGAAACGCTCCACGCAGTTCACGAAGCACGTCTCGGCCCGGCTGTCCAGCTTCGGGCCCGGCTTGTCCATGCACTTCTCCTGCACACAGCGGGGGACCCATTGGTCCCGGACGTACACACCCCCGACCCCCCCCCCCCTCGGGGCCCTCCTCCAGCTCATCCAGGCCCCCCGACCGGGGCTCTCCCCGTCCCGTCCTCCCCTTCCCCACGAGCCCTCCGCACCCCTGGGAATCACAGTGCTCCCATAGTCCCCGTCTCCCTTCTCCCCCTGGGGACAAGGGTTCACCCGCCCCACCACCACCACCCGCCGCGGCGGTGACCGGAACCGGGCCGCCCGTACCCAGCAGAGCTCGGTCATCTGGTGCACCAGCTGCTGGAACCGCTGCTTCTGCGTCTCCACCTCGATGAAGCGCTGCAGCTGCGGGTCGGCAGCGCCCAGCCCTGCGGCGGACGCGTCCATCCCGGTACCGGTCCTACCGGTACCGCCGGGTCCCGCCGCGCCGCGACCTTCACGTGCCGCGCCACGCCGCCGCCACCGCGCGTGCGCCGCTCCCGCCCCTTCCGCGCCTCCCGCGCCGCGCCGAGCGCCTCCTGCCGGCTGGGCGGTATCAGCGCGGAGCCATCGTTCGGAACGGTTTATTGAGCGGTCCCGGGCCCGCGGACCACGCTTCGGTCCGGGGCTTGGCGAGGGGCGGCCGTGAGGGGCCCCTCGGGTGCCGTGTCCCGCTGCAGCGGCCCCGTGGTACCAGCCCGCGGTCAGGGCTCCTCGTCCGGGATGTCCAGGATGCCGGCCAGCAGCGCTGAGAACGTGGGACGCTCCTCCGGCTTCTGCAGGGAGAGGGGAGAGCTGCGGAGCCGGTCCCGGCACCCCTCGGTGGGCACCGGGCTGGGGGCCGCTTACCTCGTGCCAGCAGCTGTACATGATGGTGTAGACCCGCTCCGAAGCCTGCTGCGGGCGGTAGAGGCGCAGCCCCTGGATGACGTGCTCCGTTGTCTCGCTGTTGTTGAACCTCTCGTAAGGCATCTTCCCCAGGGAGTAAACTTCCCACATCAGAACGCCTGGCACAGGGAACGGCGGGCACGGTTCATGGCATGGAAGCAGCTGTGGCTGAAGCTGCTCCCCATCTCCGAGTCATTCAGGCCCTTACCAAAAGCCCAGACATCAGACTTGCTGCTGAACTTGCTGTACAGGAGCACTTCAGGGGGAGACCACCGCACTGGGAACTTTGACCCCATGGAGCTCATATACTCGTCATCTAGAACGTACCTGCAGAAGGCAAAGAGATCAGGGTGCCTGCCTTGCACTCCACAGGTTACTACTACAGGCCAAAAGGAGCTGGCAGCTCTCAGAGTGACAACAGGTTGGCCTCCACATGGGTTTCAACAGGCAGAAACAGGGTGACACAAAAGCATAGCCACAAAAAGGGGGATGTGTAGAGAAAGTTGCCTCCAGGAGACTAGAGGTGGGAGAAAGAAGCAGCAAAGAGAGGGGGATAAGGGACAGGGGAAGTAAGAAAGGGATGGTGGAAAGGAGAAGTGGAAGGTTGAGGCAGATAGATGAAGCAGAAAGACAGGGGAAAACAAAGGAAAAACAGAGCTGAAGGACCAAGATGTAGAAGAGACTGAAGGAGGAGCTGCAGGACTGAGACAGGAAGGTGACACAGACACATCCACCAGACCTGGAAAGGCCAAAATCCGATACTTTCACAATTCCTTGCTCATTCACCAAGCAGTTGCGAGCAGCCTGTGGGTGGAGAGATGGAGGCAGTCACTCCTACCTGCTCCTGCCTCCAGCGTCCTGCTCATCTGCAGAGGGGCAACTTCTCTGGTGGGACTTTGAACAAAGCAGCACCAAGAGGAGATCAGATACAGCACCCGGCAGCACTGCAAGCTAGCGATGCCAGACCAGGGCTGACAAACTGCAGGCTCAGCTTTTGATGGGGGTTAAGAGGTCCCTTTCATGTCAGAGCCAGCGATGCTGCCTAACACAAACCCTGCCCTAGCCACAGATTGATTTCCCATCTGCTGGAAAACTATCCAGTCCTGCCCTTTCTGCAATCACTGCTAACTCACTGCAGTGACTTAGAGCATCCTGCCCATGCTCAGGTGGGCAGGGAAAGCTTAGAGGGATGTGCTGCAGAGCTGCCTCTCCTCATCATGATGAGCTGGACCCTGTCTGTCCAGGACATGCTGTGGCTGTTGCTCAGTTGGAGAGGCGTCCTTCAGCCCCAGGCCTACCAGGTCCCGGTGCAGGAACTGCTTGGATTCCAGGTACTCCATAGCTTCACAGACATCCTTGCACATCTCCAGCAGCTCGGCAGGCTGGAACCGCCGCCGAGGTTCCTTCAGGAAGTTCAGGAGGCAGCCGTTGGCCATGTACTCGGTGATGATGAAGATGGGATGCTGCTTGGTGCAGACCCCATAAAGCTGCACGAGCTTCTCATGAGACAGGTTCCTGTGTTGGGGACAAGAAGGGCAGTTCTGAGCATCTAGAAGGCCAAGCAGCAAAAGCAGCATCCGTGGATAAAGAGTGTGGGAAGGGAAGGTGCTCCTGGCCCAGGTGATGGTGGAAAAGCTCACCAGGGAATCAGGACAAAGGCAGTAGGTCCTTGGATGCATTTTGCATCCACGCCACCCAGAGGCGCAGCCGTTCTGGCAAGGCAGGTCCAGCACTGACCTGCAGGCTGCTTACCACTTACATCATGACTTTGGCTTCATCGATGAACTCGTCCTCTGACATGGAGCCCTCCCTGATCATCTTGATAGCAACGTTGTACTGGCCTCTCCACTTCCCGTACTTCACCACACCAAACTGTCCCGTCCCCAGTTCCTTCAGGAAGGTCAGATCCTTTGGGTCAATCTCCCACGACCCTAGGATAGAGAGAACAAGCATAATGCGGGTGCAGGTGGCCTCCCTGATCTAGCAAGCCCAAGAAGAGCTCACAAGCCTTTGCTGCCTGAAAAAGCATCCCCAAAATCCATGAAATCTGAGACTTGTTCCTCCAAGGGATGGGGAGCAAAGCAGTTTATGGCATCTCTTGGTCAGAACTGTCACCAGAGGGCCAGTGAGTGTTGGGAAGTGATTCCTGGGAAGGCTGTGAGCCCTTGTGCCATGGGACAGGCAGGATCCCAGCCTCAGGAAGTCAGTGCTGCAACCAGGGAAGCGTGAGGCCATCTTACCATAGCCGAGGCCTGCTGTGGAAGGAGCACTTCTCTGGTGTTGAGACACAGGGTACTTCAGTCTGGATATGAGCCCTGAGACACAAGAAGGTAAGACTGCCACGCCACACTTACCCAGCAGGGAACACAAGCCCCCCGCCTTCAGTGCAGGAAGGTGGGGATACTGTTGTGTCAGTAAAAGCACTGCTGGCCCCACTGTGTCCCCCACACTGACCAGCAGAGTTGTGTTGGTGGTAGGTGATGAGCTCCGGGATGGTGTTGAACACGTGCTTTTCTGCCAAGTAATACTGATTCTGGGGGGTGCAGCACACAACATAGTGGCGGATCATGCCTTGGGGGTCTCTGGAGAGACAGTATGAGGGGTCAGCAGCGTGGGGAGGACAGGCAGAGGGTGAGGGGTGCCACTGAGGTAGGAACAAGCTGTTCTCGGATCCACTTACACAGAGGACTTGGCATAGACGGACACAGTGTACTTCCCTGTCTTGCTGGTGGAGTCTCGGACAATGAAGCCTCCTTCCTTACCCTGAAAGGGGACAGCGATAGAGTGGTTATGGGGTGGTGTAATGTAACAGGCAAGACATAAAGTGAGCGGAGTCCTACTTCCAGTCCCTGCCTGAGGGGACATATCCTGAAGAGGTCATGTTGGGGTACAGATGGTTCCTGGGCTGTAGTGGTCATGCTCCCCTCCCAGGAGTTTCCCAACTCAAACTTACCTCCTGTTTGAGCAGTTGCTCTGCTTGGCTCCGGGTGATGTTCTTTGAGTACCACCTGGAACAGGGACACGTGTCAGGGAGAGCACCACAACCACTGCTGTCCCCAGCCTGGTCTGAGCCTGGCCCAGGACAGGGATGACTGGAGGCTCTTGAAGGGTAGGGAAGAGGGAGACTGACCCAGCTGGGCTCACAGGCTGTGTGTGTTTAACAGAACTGCATGTAAAAATCTCTGACCATGTGCAGCTTGCACCATCCCTGTGCCCTCTACTCACTCAAAGATCTCCAGGGAATTGCTGGTTTCAGTGACATAGTTGCTGGGGATGTATCCTTCCCTCCTGCAGAAGAAAAGCAGCCGGTCACACACTGATGGAGGAGGCCAAGGGGAAAGCAGGTTCCTGCCCCAGAATGCTGTGTAGAAATGGGCTCAAAAACCTTGGTGCAAACCCATTTGGGTTCACGCTGCCACAGCCTGCTTCAGTCTCCTGCACTGTCCTTATGTGCCACCCCACATGGCAGCCTGCTGACTGTCCTAACCCCCAGGATGCTGAAGAGACGTGTTTGCCACCAGTGCCATGGCACCGCGAGAGGCCACTGCAGTGGGCAGTGGGAGCTCTTACCCGTTCTTGTCACGGGCCTTCCACCAGGGCAGGTGGCTTTCCTCCAGGATGAGGTACTCCTCGCCCTTCTGCAGCTGCAGGTCCTGCGCGTTCATGGGCAGGTAGTTGTAGAGGGCCACCACCTTCTTCATCTCGCCCGCTGTGCTGGGGGCCGGCTCGGGCGGCAGCGGCTTCATCTTCGCAGAGCAAGGGAGAGCATGGGACAGGGTGAGGCTGGCAGACACACAGTGCCCAGGAGAGACCCTCCCCAGGCCTGCTGGGCAGTGGGCTCAGGCCAGTCACTGCAGTGATTGCCTCAGCTCCCCCATGTATCTCCACCAGGAGACCAATGCCCCCCCTGCCCCAGCACTTTTCATTGCAACATTTCCACCTCAGAGACCCGTCCTCACAAACTATAAGAGTTTCCTCTCTACATTTTGGCTTAACCTGTGACTCCTCCACCCTATCCTGGGGCTTCTCCATCTTCCCAGCTCCCCCTGGGGAACCTCAGGGGTGAAATCACTTGACTTTCCTCCAAGCTTTTGATTCAAGCTCCTTCTCCCTCAGGGTACCACCCTGACACCCCTTCTCCAGAGCAGTGCTCTGGCCTGTACATCTCTGAGCAATGCCATTGAACATGTTGGCTTTTCCCAGTTAGTCTGCTCCTTAAACACCTCGGAGCAAACCCACATGCTGCTGCTGGCCCCCACCTGGTCCTCCTCAGGCGTGGGGGGAAGAGGCTTCTTTGTCTTGCGATGCGACCGCCCAACTTTTAAACCTTCCGAACAGAAAAGGGACTTAAGGTGAGGAAAGATGCTGCGGCCTGGGGACAGGGTGAGGGGAGGGTGCCCAGTGTCTTACTGCCATTCCTGCTCTCCAGGATCTGGCAGCCCATGGCATTCTTGGCTGTCTGGGAGCAGCACAGGTACTGGCCGTCGATCCAGAAGCAGGGGTGATACTTCTGTACCAGGTCGCTGTTGTACCGGATCACTGTGGCAGAGAAGGGATGAGTGCTGTGTCCCCGGCACGCTGCAGAGAGCTCTCTGCTCTCTCAGTGCAGGTGATCAGCCCTGTTAAATCATTCCACCCTCTGCTGTGCTGCTGATACACGCCCACATGAGGCCCTGCTGAGGGTTCACCTCAGCTCATTGCTCCTGCAGCCAAAATGTCCAGCATCCCCCAGGCTGCTGAGGTTTGTGGCTCTTTTGATCCCTTGATCTTCAGAAGTGGGGAGGGAGGCCAGTGCTGTGCCTGGCTTGTCCATGGGGATAGCAGGGCACTGCCACCATCCCTGCCTGCTCAGGTACTTCCCTTGCTGGGATACTGCTCCTTTGCTAGGAGACAACCAGCTTCCTTGTGCTTCTCCCCAAGCTAGAGGGACAATTGGATGTGCCAGAACACCACGAGAGTGCGGTGCTGGCCCACAGCATCTCTGCAGGGATGAGGGCATCCCGGCACCTAAAGACCAGCATTTCCTCTGCCCTTTTCCCTGTGGATTTCCCACTGGCTTCAGCTGCCCCAGCAGCCTCCCCTGCTGCAGCAGGGAAGTGGGAGAGAGCTGCTGCCTGCTGGGGAAGAGCTGCAGGGCTCTCGTGAAGTAACAGACTTCCCCGTTATCAGCCTGCGCTGCTTCCGCCTGGCGGGGCCAAACTTCCCTGTGTCAATTCAAGCAGCTATCAATCACCCACCAGCACAAAGCCACAGAGATGCACACGCACCAAGAGGCACACACAGGCAGCTCCAGCACCCAACCGTGAGCAGTGAGTTGAGGTGAACCCTCAGCGGGGCCACGTGTGGCTGTGTATCAGCAGCGCAGCAGAGGCTGAAATGATTTAACAGGGCTGATCACTGCATTCAGGGAGCAGAGGGAGCTCTCTGCAGTGTGCTGGGAGATCCTGACCAGCTTTACACACCCTGGTAGTGCTGCTGCAATGCTCAGCTCAAGCAGGTAGCACCTCATGCCGCAGAGTGTTAGCTCAGCAAAGCTTGGGGTGGGCTGGGAGAGATGCTCCCTGGCTTCCCACAGGCTTTTGTTCCCAAAGCACTGGGGGCTCTACCCTCGTGTTCCAGGCCAGTGCAGCTGTGTGGCCACATCTGCTATTTCCTTTAGCCCTCAATAACTTCTGAGCCTGCTCGAGCTCATTTGGAGCTCGCAAGCGCGAGAGGGCAAGAAGCCTCAGCTGTGGTGGCTATGGTGGGGCAGAAGTCAGAGGGTGATAGAGGCGAGTGTCCACATCCCCAGGCAGGAGCAGCTCAGGGGTGTTAAGGAGTGGATGTGGGGCAGGGTCTTATGAGTGCTCAGGTCACAGGAGAAGTTTCTGATCACTCTTCTGCAGCCATGGGACAGTGGAACCACGAGATAACCAACCCCGGAAGCCTGGTGCTCTGGGTCACACCACACGCACAGCTCATGGCTTGTGTTTGCTTGGGGGGGGGCGCAGAGCCCCCAAACTCACCGCTCTTCAACTGATGGATCCAGCGTCTGCGCAGCTCCTCCGTCGGGGAGAAGACGTAGAGGGGCCCTTCGTCATAGACCACCTGCAGGAGCACACAGCTCAGCACCCACTGGGGGTCTCCAGGGAGGATGGGGGGAGCCGAGGCTTATGGCAGAGCACAGGCTGTGCTGTGTGTGCTGCCCTTCATGCTGCTCACGGGACCGTGACAGAGAAGTTCTAAATAAGCCCCTTCCCCTGAGACTTTCCACTTCCTTCTCTGACTTTCAGTGTGTCCAGAAGGGGCAGGCAGCTGGGCTGGGAGCTGAGTGGGCACCCTGCAGACAGCATCCCTCCAGCATGGGCCGTGGGGCCGAAAGAGGCACAACAGAGCTCAGAAGCTGGTTTGCATCTAAGCTGCCCCCTTAAATAGAATCACCCAACCCGAGGCTCACAGCGCTCACCTGCCTGCCCCATGCAGGACTGACTGCAGCAGGGTGTCCCCAGATGGGTGAGTGATGCCTGACATGGGGGCAGTGATGCTGGGTTTGGCACCAAGTCCCCCTCTGGTCCTCCTCTGCAGTCAGTGGACGCACAAAGGGTGCAGTGGGGACTCACCTGGAAGGGGTAAGGGAACCGTTCGATGATGGAGATCTGCTCCATGTTTGTGGAATCCTCTCCTTTTCTCTGGAAGAGAGAGGCAGAGACATGCTGGCATCCTGCTGCTCGGCTGCTGGCATCTCCCATGGGACCCACAGCCTTTGGCATCCCCCTGCCCTGCATCAAGCCAGACCCCTGGTATGGGCTATGGGTGCAGAGCCCCCCATGCCAAGTAGGGCTGTCCCCCCATTCCCACCACCCCAGAGCAGGGTCCCTCTCCCTACTTCCCCAGCGAAGGGACACAAGCGGGGCCCTTCCTCACCGGGACCTGCCGCTCAGGGGGAGGGTTGTGCTCAGGCACCACTGTCTCCACACAGGTGATCTTCTCAATGTCCACTGAGCCCTTCTTGCTGCCCCGGCGCTGCAAGACACAGGCTTGGTTTGAATGATCGTCAAGGGAGGCTCAAGCCAACCACTGTCCCTGTCCAACCACCCCTTGGGCTGGCAAAGGGACAACTGGTGAGCCCTGTGGCCGCCGACTCACCCCCCGTTCAAAGTCGTACTCATAGTAGGACAGCTTGCTCTCTGTCAGCAGGAACAGGCGCTTCTTGAAGTTGAGGGGAGATGTCTTCTTCTTCTGCTGTGAGCGCTTCAAGAAGATGCTCTCCAGGATGACACTGGCCATGTCGGCCCCGCCGGCCTCCTCTGTGCTGTGCTCGCTGCGTGGCTGTGGGCAGCACAACACCAGCACAGTGCTCGCTGCTGGACCTCACTTGGTGCACTGCCTCCACTGACCAAGGGGCAGCCTGGAGGTGCTGGGACCACCACAGCAGGGATTCAGCTGCAGAGGTGTGCGGGCAGGTCAGTGTGGGGTGGCTGTGATGGGACCTCTCCCTCTCCTGTCCCCTCTCCGATGCCAGGCTGTGGACCAAGCCACCACCCGGATGGCTTTGGCTTCTGACGGATGCTGGAGGGGCCCCCCGGGTGTGCTGATGGACAGACAGACATAGATAGAGAGGGAGGAGTGCAGAGCCTGAGCAGCAACACCCAAAGGGCTCCCTCCTCCCCTCCAGCATCATGTGTGTGTGTTTGTGTGGGCTGCTTCCTCCTGCCACAGCGCAGGCACTTTGTGCAGGGACGTGCTGAACTGCCTCTGTGGAGAGAACAGTCCCTGAAACTTGTGGGTAGGTCCTGGCCTCAAATAGCTGCTGAGAGCACAGAGTAGCCCTAAAGGCATCCTTCCCCTCTGTGTGCATGGAGCCTGCAGGAGAGCAAGGATGATGCTCAACATTCCTCCTCCTCCAGGCTTGAAGGGATGCCTCCAGCCAGCAACCAGAGGGGTTTGATCCTTCCCCAGCCCTCCTCAGGAAAGCTCTTCCCTTGAGCCTCTCCAGAGATGGGCCAGGCAGAAAAGGGCTCGATTCAGAGCACTGCATTCCACTGCTGCCCTGCCTCCAGGGCTGCTGGAACTCTGCCCCTGGCCCATTTCTTGGAGCATCCTGTACCCTTTCATGCTGCACTGTGGCACCCAGATGGTTCCAACACCCCACAGAGCTCTGGGCTTCTCTGAGGGCTGTAACCAATGCTTCATTCCAGACTGGATGTATCAGGGAGTTCATGAGCTACACGGGGCCACTGCTGAACTGTGACCTGGAGCCCACATCCATGTCTCCTGCCCTGCCCATCTACATGCCTTGCTCCTGCTTCACCTCCACCTTCTTCCTGTTTGCTCCTACAAACACAGCTTTAGAGAGTATCCCAGGAGAAGCAGTTTCCCTCCCCGCTGCCCTCATCTTCTCTAGGGCAGGCTCAGAGGAGAGCTGGAGCCAGGGGTTGAACTCCCTGCTACCCAGCCAGGCAGCACGTCCCTTCCCCTCACACAGGAGGCATTGGCTCGGCCACGAGAGGCACCAGGTTGGGACCAAATATGCCAGGACCTGGTCCCCATAGCTGTGCCACTCTCTGGGGCATGCCCAGCCTGGGGGGCAGGAGCAGGGGTGTTCCCCCATGCACTGGTGATGCCCAGACCCTTCCAGCACAGATCCTGCAATCCTGCCTCGCTGCAGTGGCTATAGCCAGAAAGACTGTGAACAAGCAGGGTTCCTGCTCCTAGCATCCCCTTTCCCTACCCTTGTGGCCCTCATGGGCCTTTTCTGCTTGTTTGGGTGGTTTAAAAAACAAAATAAAGCAAAACCCCCTTAAGCAATGAGTTGTTGAGAGTTCTTTATAAAACCCAGCAGCCTCCACTGGCAGATTCAAGCCTGGGGAGAAGGGAACTGGGGTCCCTGCTGAGCACAGGGCAAGTGGCTCGGGTTGCCACTGACAGGGTGGTGGGCAAGCCCAGAGTGACCCCAGCATCCCCCTGTAGCCCCATGCCTCAGTTTCCCTAGCTATAAAATGTGGCTGCCATCATGCATCCCCCCAACACAGCCACAGGGGCTGAGCAGAGCAGCCTTTGGGCTCCATCCCATCCCATCTGCAGAGCTGGGTCTCCAGCAGCTTTGCCTTGATTCACAGAGCCGGGTCAGCACCAGCAGTGCCGGGCAGATGGGACACATCCCGTGTCCTCTGGGGCAGTGCTGACATGGGTATCTCAGGGCTCTTCTGCCCCAGCATGGCACAGCCACCCTGTCCCCAGCACTGCTCCCTTGTCCCCAGCATGGCACAGCCTCCCTGTCCCTGGCTCTGCCACCGGTGCTGCTCTGTCCCTGCCTGTCCCTGGGGGTGGTGGGTTCCCTTTGGGACTCACCCTGCAGCCACTGCTGCTGCGCTGTGACAAAGCAGAGGTGGCAAGTGGGTGGCTGGAAGCATGTCCTGTGTTTGTCCCCAGCGCGTGTGACTTCCTGTCGCTGTCACACCCCAGCCAAGAGTGCTCTGACCCCACCGCCAGGCCCGGCACACACTGCGGGTGCTGTGCCCCACCATGCCCCCTGCACATGTCCTGCTAAGGAGTGCTTGGCCACCACTCTTTGATGGGGGCTGGCATACCCAGAGCAAGTGGGAAGGGTGACAGCGTGTCTGCGAACGACAAACGCCACAGCCCCCGTGCGTGAGGTGCAGCCTGGAGGGTGACAACAATGAAGAGGAAGGAATCTCCTGCACAGGACAGACTCGGGAACAAAGCCAGAGCTGCCCTCCAGCAGCATCTACTGCAAAATGCACGGGCAAAGAGTGCTCAAAGGCACTGCCAGCACCACGACCCCCTGCTCTGCTGCACCGCTGGGTCCCTGGCACTCATCCCTCACCCTGATTCCATGCTCTAGAGCACCGTTGGTGTCCATAGCACACACACCACCCTGATCCCATGCTCTGGAGCCCAACTGGGGTCCATAGCACACACACCACCCTGATCCCATGCTCTGGAGCCCCACTGGGGTCCATAGCACACACACCACCCTGATCCGCTGCTCTGCAGCACCAGTGGGGTCCATAGCACACACACCACCCTGATCCCCTGCTCTGCAGCACCAGTGGGGCCCATAGCACACACACCACCCTGATCCCCTGCTCTGCAGCACCAGTGGGGCCCATAGCACACACACCACCCTGATCCCATGCTCTGGAGCCCCACTGGGGTCCATAGCACACACACCACCCTGATCCCATGCTCTGCAGCACCAGTGGGGTCCATAGCACACACACCACCCTGATCCCCTGCTCTGCAGCACCAGTGGGGCCCATAGCACACACACCACCCTGATCCCCAGCTCTGCAGCACCAGTGGGGCCCATAGCACACACACCACCCTGATCCCATACTCCACTGCAGCCCCAGAACCCCCCCACACCCACCAAACTGCTCTGCTGCACTCTGGCCTCATGGTACCTGTCCCGTCCTTGGCCTGCCGGGAGCTGCCCAGGCTGTGGGACAAGGCTGAGCCTTCCCAGCTCACCCGCTGCTTGCCAGCATGCGGCTGGTGCCCAGGACAGAGGTGCGAGGCCACAAGCAGGCACCGCACGGCTCCCTCCTCCCCGCACTGGCAGCAGGGCACCGCCACCCTCGTGTTCCAGCGCTGTCCCCACACCGCACGCGGCAGCCCCCGGCCCCCCTCCGCACTCACCCGGCCCTCCCGCCGCCGCTCCGGCCCGCAGGGGTCCCGCCGTGCCCGCTGCCCGCGCCCGCCCGGGGTGGCCCGACGGGGCCGGTCGGGGTGGCTGTGGCGGCAGGGACACGCAGCGGGGTCGGTGGCACAGGGAGGAAGGCCGGGCCCGACCAACCCCACCCTTTCAGTTCCCCTTTCCCTGCTCTCTGACTCAAAGCAGCAGCTGTGTTTCCTCCTGGGCCGGCCGGGGCTGCGGGTGCTGCGCATCGAGGGGACGAGGGGCACCCACATGGCACGGGGCCGCGCTGCAGGGCAGCTCCATGTGCCCCCCTCCACGTGCCGCACTGAGTGCATCGCACAGGGTTACTCCATGTACCCGCAACCTTCCGCACCCCCCCGGCCACCCTCCGCACCCCAACTCCGCCGCACCTCGCACCCTCAATCCCCCTGCCCCGCTCTCCTCCCGCCGCAAGGCGGCGCCACTCGCGCTCCCTGCGCTCCTCCTCTCCGTAGCTCACCACGCCCATCCGCTTCCGCTTCCCGGCTGCTCCTCCTCTTCGGGCTGCAGCCGGCAAGATGGTGAGTGCCGGCCGCAGCGGGCCCGGTTCTATCCGCTGCCATCCGCCCCGGAGGCGGCTCCCTCCGCCCGCCCGAGGCGCCCGCCGCTGCGGGGGGTGCTCGGCCAGCGGTTAGGGCGGGTTAGGGCGGCGGGGGGGAGGTCGCAGGTCCGGGGTGAGGGCACAGGACCTAACCGAGGGCAGGGGACGGGCGGCCGGGCTGAGGTGCGTCGGTGGCGGCGCTGCACGCCCTGAGCCGTTCCCGGCCGCGGTGACCGAGTTCCCCCGTCCCCTGCAGGTGAACGTCCCGAAAACCCGCCGGACCTACTGCAAGAAGTGCGGCAAGCACCAGCCGCACAAAGTCACCCAGTACAAGAAGGGGAAGGACTCGCTCTACGCCCAGGGTAGGCCTGGGGGCACGGCTTGAGGGAGGTTGTGTGGGACCCGGGTGGCCACGTCCCACGCCGGGGTGACGGCTGTGGGAGAGGAGGGTATTGCTTCTGGTCTGGGGTGCCGCTGCAGACTGAGTTCTGCTAAGGGTTGGTGAGCGGCAGCTGTGCTTTGTGCAGTGTCTCGAGTCGTTGCCTAAAGAACCGTTTCTGCCTGTAGGGAAAAGACGCTACGATAGGAAGCAGAGCGGCTACGGGGGGCAGACTAAGCCCATTTTCCGCAAGAAGGTGAGTGCTGCTTCTGGAAGGAGGACCTGAAGCGTTCATGGTAATCTACATACCAGTTGAAGAGGGATGCTGCAGCCTTGTGCTGGTCCTGTGCTCAAGCCATGTTATGGCAGCTCTGCGGGTAGTGGTGTCCGGGGAGTGTAAATTGCCCATCCACGTAATCCCTGCTGCTGTTGTTTTCAGGAGTGACGATGTAGCATGTGTTCGCACAGCAGGTTGTGCAGGGAGCCTTGATGCTGGAGGGGAGCAAGGTCTTACTGGGAGTGATGCTTTTAATGAAAGGAGCGTTTTCTTCATTGCTTGCCAGTACAGCTAGGGGAAAGGGAGGCTGCTGCTTGCTCTCCTTGTGGTCTTGGAGTGGCAGTAGTTTCTCATTGAAACTCTGCCGGGTTTGTGAGGCTCTGCACAGTGATGGTGC